GCATTATGGCTAAGTGTACAGTTTTACACATCATAATAATAATAATATTAAACACCCTGTCTGCTGACAGTCATCAACTCTTCTCTCTAGTTATCCTTGACCAGATGTACCCTGCAGCAATTCATATGCAGGCCTAAGCATTTAACAGTTTAACTAAACACCCTCTCTCCACTAACATTTCTAATACATAAAGTATCTATCCAATATCTATCTGACTAAAAATATCCTGCAACTTCCCCTACTTGTGTCTGTGTCTTCCGTTCCAACTTGCATTTAAGAACATCTTCAGCATACTCTGCATGTTGTAGTATGTCAGCCAGACAGCTGTTTTTGATCGCCTTACTAAGGTCAGAGCTCATCCGGTCCAGAAAAGCATCCTTCAGGTGCACCTCATATGGAGAATAGGGTGGTGTATGTCTGCTGTGCACATCAAATGCTTCAGTAAGGCGTTGCAGGAAACACTTTCTTCAGCCTTCTGATGCATGGACATTATGGCTGTGATGTCCTGCTTCAAAGGAAAAGCATCCTTCACCTTAGTGATCAGTGCAGTCAATTCATCTCTGTACTGGACATTCTCAGCATAGCTCCAGTCTGCTTTTGGCGTTGAGGTCTGGTATCTGCTGAGAATACGTCCCTGATCCTTTCGAAATCTGGTCCCAACATCTTCATCAGTCTCTCCACCTCAGTGAGCCTGACATTACTTTTAAATTTTAATCCTGCTTTTTTTTCCGTTTTGATTTATTCTCTCCCCTCATTTTCCTCATGTCCCCGTTCTCTGCTTCCCGTCTCCACATGCTGTCTAGTCAACTTTGAATGGTGGTGAAGGACTATAGGGTTTGCCCAGTTACTTTACCCTGTACCACTACACACTTAACCATATAGCCCAAGAACACTATGGTGCGTCCACCAATTACCGTACAGCCACTGCTGTAATAGGTACAGTGGGTACGGAAAGTATTCAGACCCCCTTAAATTTTTCACTCTTTGTTATATTGCAGCCATATGCTAAAATCATTTAAGTTCATTTTTTTCCTCATTAATGTACACACAGCACCCCATATTGACAGAAAAACACAGAATTTGACATTTTTGCAGATTTATTAAAAAAGAAAAACTGAAATATCACATGGTCATAAGTATTCAGACCCTTTGCTGTGACACTCATATATTTAACTTAGGCGCTGTCCATTTCTTCTGATCATCCCTGAGATGGTTCTACACCTTCATTTGAGTCCAGCTGTGTTTGATTATACTGATTGGATGTGATTAGGAAAGCCACACACCTGTCTATATAAGACCCTACAGCTCACAGTGCA